GAATGTGGGAAATCTTTCTCCCAGAAGTCATATGTCAGCGCACATCAGAGAATACATACAGGGGAGAAACCCTATGAATGTAGTATGTGTGGGAAAGCTTTTGCCCATAATTCAACTCTAAGAGTACACCAGAGAATTCACACAGGTGTACAATCCTATCACTGTAATGAATGTGGGAAAACTTTCTCCCAAAAGTCATACCTATGTGCACATCAAGGAATTCACCCAGGGGAGAAACCTTATGGATATAACAAATGTATGAAAACTTTCTACAAGACACCACACCTCAGAGCACATCTGAGGACTCGCACAGGGGAGAAACCCTATGAGTGTAGTATACGTGGGAAATTTTTTGCCTGTAATTCAAACCTCAGTGTACATCAGAGAATTCACACAGGAGCAAAACCCTATGAATGTAATGAATGTGGGAGAACTTTCTCCCAAGGGACATACCTGTGTGCACATCAGAGAATTCACACAGGAGAGAAACCCTACGGATGTAATGAATGTGGGAAAGCTTTTGCCAAAATTCAACTCTCAGAGTACACCAGAGAATTCATACAGGGGAGAAACCCTATGAATGTAATGAATGTGGAAAAACTTTTGTCCGTAAGACAGCTCTTAGATTGCATCACAACAGAATGCATACCAAAGAGAGAAAATAATAAATCTGGGATATCTTAAAGGAATTCATACAACACAGTGGAGAAGCTCATGCCATACAGACTGGCAAATTGTTTAAGTATTTCTTTTTGTGCTAGGCACATAGCTTGTTTAAATTTCCCAGCCCATGGGTCTAGTCATGGAATATGATGCTATTGCATTTAAGCTAAATCTGCCCTTAAAAAAGTCACCTTATATTGTTTCTATCTCTGTTATATTGGAATGGAGAAATTTCCATGGCAGACTTCGGTGCTGTTTTAAAAAGCTAGAGTCTGAATAATTGGGTGAAACAGAATTCGCCACTAACTGATCTTCACCAGTTTTTTTGTGTTTTAAGCAAGATTTAAGTTTTTATGCTATTGAGTTCTTACAGATTTCGGTCTGTTGGTTAAATGCATATAGTTTAGGCAACTCTTTTAGAATGGGGTGAAATGCTATAAATATAACAGAAAACCTATCAGGATTCAACCTATCATTGTACATCAGAGACTTTACATGAGGAAGAAAACTTCTGTCAATATCTTGAATAATCAGAAGCCTTCATTAAAAATCAGAGAAATCTCAAGAAAAAACACAAAAGCTTTTACCACCAAGTGAACTTCACTAAACATGAAATAATTAACAGACTAAAATCTTGTATTTTGATAACTGTAATTTTTTAACATATACTGAGTTTGCATCAGATAATTTTTCTCTGAGGAAATATATCAGTTTCAGAATTGAAGATAAATTCTTCATCTAGAACTGATGTACCAAAACTTGTGATTTATATGTAATATTAAGTTTTATAGCAAATATAGAAGAAAATATTTACCTATGAACAAACACTGTGGAATGTGAAGTTTTAAAGATGGAAGAATAACATCAACTCTGTGTACAACACCAGTGAATGTTTGTGTCTAGTCTCTGAGCTGTGTGGTACATCTGTATGAGGATGTAACAGATTTCATTACTGCTTCTAGTAGGAGGCAGTAACCAAACCTGCTCTGGACCTGTTCACTTTCCTTTTCTGAGTGATAGTCTATGCTTCTTCTGTTGGCTTCCCTCAACTTGATGCCATTAGATTTTAGCCTGCCTCCTACATCTGAATATCAGTCTGGCTCTTGTTTTTCTAGGACCTTATCAACACATAAGATTTCTCAAGGATTCTTGTGCGTGTGCATATGTGTAGTGGATAGTGGTTCTTACATACTCATGGTCTTCATTTTATGCCAGCCAGTGGTTCATTTTGTGCTGCGTAATTAAAAAGCAAGTCTTTGGGGGAGGGGCGTTTATCACTTTATGAGGGGTGTAAATGTCTATTACATTGTTTTGTACACCTGAAACTAATAAAATGAATAAAAAAACTAAAAAACAAAACAAAACAAAAAGATGATGGGGCTTTTCCTATCAGTTGGCTGTCCAAATGGTAAAGGTTCTCATATCAAATCGATCCGGATCCCGTGCAGAAGATCTGGGTGGTTCAAATTCTTGGAGGTCTGCATAAGGCATGAGCGACAAAGTTGTAAACATCCCAGTACATCTTGACAGCCACTTTATAGGCTGCTAATGTAACAGATGAGGCTCCACAAACTGGACAGGCTAAATTAATTTAGCATCCCGACCATGGGAATGGAATCTCTCCATTACCGTCTCATTCCAGTCTCCTATCTCTATAAAGCTTTGTCTCACAAACTCTTTGATGAGGGACCATCTGTCTTTGTGTCACTTGCAAAATGGCAAAGCCTCTTACTTATGCAATTTATTGACACTTTAGGGGTGCCTTTAGTACCTGAGTACTTATCAGTGTTCTCCAAATGCAATTCCAACTGACGGTGACTAACCACTGGCTTCAGGAAGGGAGGTAAAGCTGTTCAGAGAGTACTTGTAAATACAAAACCCCTACGTAAGTACAGAGGGCATGTTTAATTTGCTTTCTAATCAATATCCATAATGCTTAATAATGTTAGATTTTCAATGTTAGGCATCTGCCTTGCTATTGATATGTCATTTTTGCTGCATAACAATCTCTTTAAGTGATTTAAAAATGTCAAGAAATTTTACTACTCTATTTCCCCCCCTGAAATTTGGCTCTAAATTTTATTAAATTTTGTCTTACAATCCAGCTTTCAGTGATATCTATTGATTTATGACCTTGTTTATTGCCACATGTAACAGTTAAGGAGAGTTCATATTTATATCTCAGCAGATACCTCCAACCAGTGGTCCTATGGCACAGGAACACCAGGCATTTAGGCCTCAGCCACTGCACACAGCTGAAACATGCCCTAAGTGAACTCTTAGAAATATCACATTATGCTCCACATCTACTCGTGTGCTATTTTCTCCCTCCTATCTCATATGTTGTTGTTTGAGTATTCAGGGTGGTTACTGCCTCTGCTCTGACAGATATGTCCACTATCCAGAAAGAGATTGTGTTTCTGTCCTGCGAGGCCACCCAGATTTAATTTCTCCAATGACCCTTTTCATACCCTGCATGGCTTTCGCTTATAGTTTATATTCTACCTTTCTCCAAGGTTCTGAAGCTTATATATAATTTCCCTCTGTCTTTGCTACGTATCCCTTCCCATTTCACCTACCAAAATTATACCTATTGTTACAACTAACTCCATTCCCAGGCCTTTTTTGTTTTAACAAGAAGCATCCTTGTCCAGGCATTGCCCATGTGTGTAACTATGGTATAGATGCTGGATTAACATGATAGGAAATTAAAACTCAAAAGATGAGATGGAGAAGGAAGGAGCTGATGCCTTTCTTGATATTGAACTTGAAATGCCCAGATATAATGGAAGATACTTCAGGGAGGTGAAAGGCCTATCAATGTCGTGGAGAAAGGAGGGGTTTGTGGGTGTTTAAGCAGAGAGGTGTCCTCTAAGCCAGGCTTTTCACATCTTAACAGGCACATGAACCATCCAGGATCCTGTTCAATGTAGATTTTGATTCAATAATTCTAAGGTGGGACCTGAGATGTGGTATTTTTAACAAGTGACCATGTGCTTCAATGCTGCTAGTCCAGGACCTATGCTTGGAGTAGAAAGCCCCTGGTAGAAGCTATGAGAGGAGTCTACCTCTTATGTGGATTTCATGGTAGCAGGTTGTGTCATCTTAC